TGCCGATTAATTGGTCGATACATTAGTTTATTTATATCAAAGTGTAGGCAGACAGATATCAAGAGATTTATGGCAGTTAGGAAAAACATTTGAAGTGATCCAACTGACTAGTACCCAGTCCTGCAATACTTAAGTACTTAAACCGAGTCCCTTTCCTACAAAAAAAGTTTTATTTAAATCACAATAACCTAGGCTTAGGTATTAATTAGTATTTGTTCGACTAACCAGTCTTCGTCAGTTATTTATTAGGTACCTGTGATTTGTTTTAATAATTTTACAAGTATGATAAATGCAAAAATTTGTGAGGATGTATGGATCTGTGGACGAATATCTTTCAAGAAAAAACTTGGTACTGGACGGATTTTTGGACTTTGCTACAGAGCGAATCTGGGCGATGCCGCTGGCAGAAGCTAGTCTTCGCATATTCCTCTGAGGTAGGGTTTGGGTATGTACTACACTATAGGTAGGTAGGTACGTAGATATTGAATGGACGTGAGATCTGGCAACACATTTAGGTACCTATCAGACTTCGCGTAGGTAAACCGCAAAAACACAAGAGTCACATAAGTTATCTAATTTTAAACAACTTTAGAGGTCAAACAATATTTAAAAAATAAAATTAATACTTAATTGGGAATTTTTGCCTCGAACAAATCTTACTGTCTCTTTATCAGACGACTCGTTACTATCGAGTGGATTCGCTGTTTGGCTCCTGTTAGATATAGTTTGTAGCTTGTTGTATGGGTTACACCTATTCTTTCTCGATAAATTCACATTTTTTTAATCCGAAGAGATTTCATTTTGTGTGTGGGCGTTTCAAGAAATATTAAAAAGAGGAGAAATAGTAATATGGTAACTGTACAATGTAACACCCCCTTTTCACTATTTATGTTATGAGTCCTATGTAATAGGGGATGAGCCTATTGCCATATATCGGGCACATTTCCAGACTCCGTGCTAAAACTAAGATTTTTAATAAATCGAATCGAACCCGAGACCCCTTGCCCGGCAGTCGCATTGCGACCAGTCGGCCAATGAGGCAATAAAAATACGTGTCTAATGTTTTTAAATAATCTACCTACCAAACGGACATTAAAATAAAAATTAGTCATCTACCCTATTGTGGTTTTACCGGTTTTGCATACATTTTGTACTCCACACCATATCTTCTTCTATATTATATCTATGGCGCGTTCTATCGACCAACCCATAGATATAATAAAGAAGGATCAACCAAACAAACTCAGCTTAGTCATATTATTGTTAGTACAGACTTCTAACTTTGGAGTAATAGAATAAGGCGGACGACTGAATTTTTTAGAGAATTCGGAGTCGGGACAGTAATAGGTGCGAAAACATCTTCATGAATTAAACTAGCGTCTAAGTTTACTAGTGGAAGTATATCTATCTAACTACACGACTATGTATCATCTCTATTTTAGTTCTCAGGTCAGACAAAATGTTTTAGGTCAACAAATTGTCCTCTAGGTACCTAATAATACTAATTGGCTAGTATCTCCTGTTTAAGAAAGCCTATATAAAATATAACACAATTCGTGTATAATATTATTATGTACCATATTATGTACCTAATAATCTGTCTTATTTACCCCTCTACTAGGTTACCCGGTTTAAACGTGCTTATAGGTAGATAAACGCAGTGCAATACACGGATGACGACAGAACATGAAAATTAATATATATATTTCTATTTAGGTAGTTAAAGTGAATTCCAGACATTGAAGAAATATTAACTATACGGAGGTTCAATTACTCCCATCCTCAATCTCCGCAATCCTAGAATCCTGAACAATCCTCAAATTCCTAATCCCCAAAAGGCGGCGTCGATTGCTTACTATCAGGTGATCAGTCTGCTTGGTTACCGGAATATCCCATAAAAAATATTGTCGTACTAGCTGTTGCCCGCGACTTCGTCCGCGCAGAATGACTTCTGGCAGAATTTAGGCTTTTAAATTAGACTTTACCAAGGGGCATTCCACGGTAACAAAAAAATGTCGTCAGACTTCATTCAGTACTTAGGGTATAAAAAAAAACAATCCCAACAATCAGGTTTCAACCCGTACAGAGCTCACCTCATGAGGTTTCAATGATTAAAACTCCTCTATCAAATGGAATTCAATCAAATGGATTCAGTGATTTAAAAGATACAGAGTGCCGGAATTTTAACGCATATCCTCGTTGCTATGTGATTTTCGGAATAAAGACTAACAAAGTTTCGTACAAACTTTCATCCCCTATTTTATCCCATTGGGGGTGGAGATGATCAAAATCTTTTCATAGCGGATGTCTACATCATAACATCTACCTGCATGTCAAATTTCAACCCAATCGATTTAAAACTGACAAAGACTCATACAAACTTTCATCCCCTATTCTACCCCTTGGGGGTGGAAATTATCAAAATCCTTTCATAACGGATGTCTACATCATAACATCTACCTGCATGCCAAATTTCAACACGATCAGTGTAAAACTGGCAGTTTCATATAATCTTTCATCCCCTATTTCACCCCATTGGGGGTGGAAATTATCAAAATCCTTTCTTAGCGGATGCCTACGTCATAACATCTATCTGCATGCCAATTTTAACCCGATCGGTTTAAAACTGACAAAGTCTCATACAAACTTTCATCCCCTATTTTACCCCCTTGGGGGTGGAAATTATTAAAATCCTTTCACAGCGGATGTTTACGTCATAACATCTATCTGCATGCCAAATTTCAATCCGATCGGCTTAAAACTGACAAACTTTCATCCCCTTTTTTACGCCCTTGGGGGTGGAAATTATCAAAATCCTTTCTTAGCGAATGCTTACGTCATAATATCTATCTGTATGCCAAATTTTAGCCTGATCCGTTCAGCGGTTTGGGCTGTGCGTTGATAGATCACTATGTCAGTCAGTCAGTCAGTCAATCACCTTTGAATTATATAAATATAGATTTATATCGTAAACTGTAAACGTTCATCGTTATCCCTATAACCCAACTAGACACGTCTAAACATTACAGATGGCTTTAATTATTTCTAAACTAAAATATTTCAACAGATTAGGCAATTGGATACGTAAATGCAGTGTAATAAAACCAGTACCTATTATAAATCTACTTACATAATTGCATGCGAACTACGAAACTAAAGGAATGTTAAAGGCTAAAGGCTAGTGTCAGTTATATTTAAAGTGGGGCAGACTTCACTAAGAATGTTAAGTAGCACTGAGCTAAGCCGTGGATCCGGAACTATAGAACGTTGAACGTAAAAAATACGTGACCATTGTGCTGCCTACCTACTTACCTACCAAAGGACTATTAGAAAGTTTTTATTTCAACCGATAATGAGTTACATTTTGTAACCAGAATAATTAGGTGTAGTAGGTACTCATCATATTTTTGAGGCTCACAACTCTTACAAGCACCCGTACCTACCTATGCTACTGTGTTCTCTATGTAGTTTAAAATATGATACAAGTATGCAGTTAGTATAATTCCCTATATGTTTCTTATACTATGTGTATTATTCAATAAAATCCTATATTATAGTCCTATGACATTATTAAATTCTATGGTATAACTAACAAATCATTATCAAATACAATTTTATAGGATGCATGTGTAACCTACGTCCTGTTAGCTCTTGATATTTAAAACACTGAAATATCGTAGCTCACCGATAAACCGCAATTTGTAATCAAGTATATTTAAAATAGAAAATAACAATTTTACAAAATTCTTTATGAGTATGCCTATTGTATAATATCTTTGCATTGACACGAGACTTCAAAATATGGTAATATTGGGCTTGTCAACAACGTCACAAAATCGAGGAGATAATAAATAATTCAGGACATTAAAAGAAAGAGGTTTCATTCGCTTGCACTTGTTAAAAATTATGCAAAAAGCTATACCATATGTATAGCGCTGACCAGTTTAAGTATATGGCACTGCACATTCCAAGTGCTTACATAACTGTAGATTAAATTTTAGAGTTCAGTTGCGTACTTGCGCACCACGAGTTTACGATTTAGTAGTGTCGTTTAAGAGGAACGGCCTCTATTAACTTTTTTTTTTCTTTGCCAAAATATACTAAACAATGTCACTGTCAAGGAAATGTCAGTTAGTGGCCGTCATATCTATGCAGTCAAATAGACACCGGAACATTGTGGTTGATGAAATATCTTATAATATCGGATTTTATCTCAATGTCGACCGATATCAGAGGCCATTGTATAGAGCAAGACAATTTCCTGAGTTCGAAACGTCTAATACTTGATATGACTTTGACTGTAGGTACCCTTGCAAGTTTATTCAACGGACGTCATAAAGATAGTTAAAGCTTGACCTGAAATAATCGTATTAACAAGTATTATTGAAATTTGGTATTATCACGGAAACTATAGGTAATTTTCCAACTTAATAAACAGTCCACGTTTCATTAACTCGTCGAGTACCGGTTTTATAGACACGATTAAAGAACAATAGGTCACGGTCACCGGTGACCGCTTGGTGTTTGACAGTTTAAAATCGGTTTAGTCAGTTTCTAGATACGGTTATCAGTCTACTTACTCATGTTGAGGGGACATAGACTTGAAGGGAGCATTTTACTTGTTTTACCATTGACAGGATTTTGAGAAGCCATTTTCGAAACGTAAATTCTTCTCTTTATTTTGGTCAGAGTAATCAATATATTGGATCGGAAATGGAACCATTAATGTGTAAAAGTCGATGCGAATAACACGCGGGAAGTCTAATAATGTGATGAATTAGTCACACACACGTGTGTGGCAAGTAGGTAATTGGGAAAGTCACAACAGATAATTTATAACTGGGTAACAGTAACACAGTCAAATATCTACATTGATATCGAAAATTGTGTTATTAAATATTTTAAATTGTTAACGACGGACACTACAAAAATTAAAATAGAAATATGGCTTTTAGTTTGATTTTTTTTCATTTCATTATTAATGTTATTTCTTTTTTTAGGGTGTCGTTTGGCAGTTCGAAGGGGTCGATGGTGGAGACCCTAATTTACGAGAGTCCCCTACAAGAGGAGCCGGAGAGCAGTCCGCCACCGAAAGTACAGGAGACATCGTTCCCCTACACACCCGTCGAAGACGAGTACGTTTTGTTCATTTGAGTATGTTAATTATTCATTTTTGTTCCGAAATTACGCGAACACTCCTTGGCGATTTTTTTTTGTTTACTTAGGTACCATGTATGAGGTACCTACCTACTATTTAAACATTTTATAACATTGTAAACTCTATCTCAACAATACGATTTACTTTCTGTACTTATAATTGGATTTACAGCAAAAGCAAGTATGACGATGTATGTAGCTACTACCTAGGCCACGGAATCGCGATTGCTTAGGTAATAAAACAGGCATGTAGGCAGTCGGCGCTCTACCTCTACCTACTCTCGTACGCACTGGCTTGACAAATTCAAATGGGCATACGTTAATTAAGGACACCAATTGACCGAAATGCATGAACTTTGTGGGGGATTCGGTATCTACCTTTTACTTCTGATCAAATGTAGTTTCATTGTTTCATGTGCATCATACATTATTGTTTTACGGAATTTACTTACTTCCAAGAGACACCCGTTTGAAGGATACAAATAAAACCCCAATTTATATCAATTATTATCTTGCTAGGCGGCAATTAATTGATAAAATTCGTTTGTATCCATCCTCTCATCACATACAGCTGTAGTTCATAGAATTAACTCCCCCTTGTATTTCGCAATCAATAAGAAATATCGAGCAGAACGTCCCCCTTTTATTCTCTTTACGTAACGCTAACAAACGGCTAACTGGCTATCTATGAGAGAGCGATCTCTTTACCAGACGTTATCAGTGAAAGAGACTAGGGGATCTACTTTTTTGTTAACTTGGACAGTTTCAGTAACTGACCATAGTATTTTAATCAGTAATTCTATTGATGATTGCCACTGTTCAGTACATGGTTTGTCTTAGGTATAAAGTACTCTACCTAGTTACATTTTCGATCTTTAGAAACAAATGCCAAAATCCGTGAAAGTGGTGTCAAGAAACCTACCAAAATTCATTCTGGTAAAACTCCGAGTCAACAATTATTCTGTTCCCAAATAAAATTAGTAACAAAGTGGACGTACCTACCCACCTTTAATATCTAGGTATGTTTAAATTGGTTCGAAAAGGGGTTTAATACCATTCGACTAAGCATAATGAAACGCTGGATGTAATTCATTTCGTTAATGTCGACTGACCCCAGTGTAATGCGTCAGGGTTAGATAGAGGGGAAAAATAATCCAACGTGCAATTTAAATCTGTCTAAATGTAGCGCCATCTATGGAGCTACGAAGCTACTAACTAAAACAATTTAATTTGTCCGGTCACATAACTCGTAATTAACTGAACAAGTTAACTATAATATCCATAATACAACAACAACAATAAATTCGACTGTATGATACGTTTTCTGGTAAAAAATGTTCAGAAAATAAAGTGACATCTATAATGTTGTCTCGTTAAAATGTTATCGCGAACGCGAACGCTAGCTAACATTACGTCACTGGGCGAGCTGCGTGCTCCGCTTGCTTCGTTCCGTTCCATTCCATTCGCCACGGAGCCGCGCGCGACTTCCGAGATCGATGTAGTAGAAGGAAACATTTTTGTGAAGCGTCGAATGGACCAAACCCTACAGCGTCAACTGCGCCGATGTTTTTATTAATTCGTTCTAACGCGGATATTGAAATAAATTCAGTGATCAAATAATTATTAAAACGTGAACAGTGTTAACGTTGTGAGTGAATACTTTCAAGGTACGTTATTTACATTACTCACTTCGTATTTTGTTGTGCTGCAAACAGGGTGTTCACTTGCCGATGATTTCCAATATCTAGATTGCGCGATATAATATTATTGTGAGTTCTGATGTAATCCTTTGTTAAATATTAAAATGTCATGAAAAAGTGTGAATTTCAGTAGATTTGTCTTTTCATATCTCGAGTTTTGTGCGGATAATTCGGTCACAATGACGTCACGACTACTGATTTATAAACATAAAACGACTTTCGGTTCCATCCAGCAGTCGGGAACACAAGGTCATTACTCAGCACGTACCTACAAGTAGTAAACATGCATTGGCAATCGTTTTTAGCTCTATTTTTAATGACACCATCAGTGGTAGTCCATTCATTGAGGGCCCGCCCTGTGCCGCCTCGAGGCCATCATTCTCTCTGACTACGTTTATAAGTTCTATTAATATTTTTCTATCTATTGCTTTATATTGTATAATAATTTTGTATATAGGTCTTGAATCAATTAATATTTATTTGCTTCTTAAGTTAGGGCCCCCAGACTAAATTGTAAACAAATGAAAACGATTTACCTATGCAAAGAAAGAATGGTTATTAAGCTACAAATAATGGAATAAATGTTAGTAACCTAATTTATAATGGGGTAGCAGGTAACACTTAACCGCTGTAATCCCAACCTAGATATTCCGGAAAGTTGGCTGCATGTCTACATGTAGGGCTGCATTACTTGTGACCTACATCTTGCCTCATACACTGTAGTGTTCAATTTAGTACATGTTTGCCTGTTTGATTAAAAACTTTCTTGGGCACATTCTATATCTCTACGACTCTACCGAATGTAATTTAGCACCAAGGCGTGCTTATTTCAATGACATCATCTTAAGTGATAGATGTCTAAAGAGTACCTAAATAAATTATAACTATGTGAATTATTAAACAAATAAAAGGCATTATCATTATTAAAAAAAAATAATATGCTGTAATAATTTTTACAAAAACTCTTTTCGGTCTATAAACTGAATCAATAATGTAAACAAAACAATATACCTAATGTGAGTCATGTATATATTTCTGACTGTACTTCATTAAGTAAAAATAAATAACTCGAAAGTTATTTTGCTTTAAATATATATCTACGGTATATTATATAATATTTCACATTAATATTTGCCAATTGTGTTAACTAAGTCAGTTTTGTACATGACCTTGTGCTATGTCAATTAAGCAGAGCGATATTTCTCTATTTTTACCATCTGTTGATTCATATGTTGTTAAGGAATTTGATGATGTCAGATTTTTGTATCATTCTTATGATGATCTCCTACAAAAATGTTGGTGGGTGTTCCATTTTACGAATTCCCATTTGACAAATTTTGTCTTGTTTTGCTGTAAAATAAATGTATTAAGAAGTATTAGTAATAATTCTTTAAGAACAGGTTCAAGGCCTGCAGTTAAAACCTTATCAAGAATTGAAAGTAAATGATGTCATATCATTGTGGTGGGAGATAGTTTATTTGGGTGTGACTGTGGTTTTATAATGTGATGTAACCAACCTTGTTATACTTCCAATATTTTTGTATTGAATATTTGACAATTTAATGAATTACTAAAAAAATATATCTATATCACAAATATATTCTAGCATTAATCCAAATAGAGTCTTAAAACTGAACATATAGTGTTAGTTATTCAAGTCAAAATGTTAAGTATGAGCTCAAGATTGAGAGAGCTAAATACAGTGTGGGCGTTGAATATAGTCATCTACTAATAAAAGAGGTTCCATAATTGAGTCACCTTCAATGCTAATAAGCGCGGCGCTAGCGTCCTAGCTATGCGAATAATTTTATGACAACTTGCAAGGCGATAATTTTTGTTATTAAAATGAACATAATATCAGTGACCCTATTTTTTCTATCGATAATATTACCATGCAATGAAATTATAAGTAAAATAGCTAAAGATAAGACAAAAATTAATAGATAAATAGGTAAATAACAACCTTTTATTCCTTGATTGGCTTTGCGATTATGGAAGTCCAATTCATAATAATTTTATTTTTTTAAATTGTTCATATATCATTTGTTAGAAGTGAATTATATAACCAAATGGTTATGTGGGAATAAAATGTTTGTATAATACACCTAATTATATTTCTAGGCAATATAATACATAATACAACATATATTGTATAATAATGTCACATTATTTTGCAAGTCCAAATAAATTAAGAATTTTGCCAATAGACACACAATTAGCCTGATTATAATTATCACATGCTCTGCGATTTGATAAGCTTTTTATTTATCTTAATTTTTTTTCTACTATATATATTATTTGATGTTTATTGAAAAATGATCTTTTTTCTGATAAGTTTAATAATTCTTTTAATCTTGTAAGTTTTTACGAAACTCATTGGTTCAGATGACTATTTCGTTTATATATACATATTTTGTTTGTTTTATAGCCACCACAACCACCATGCAGTTACATTTTACAAATATGTTAGTCATACAAGACAAAAATACATAATCATTGAGCCAATTTGATCCTAACGGAATTTAAACTTAATTGACAATCATTTAACAATGTTAACAAGAAGGTCAATCAAAGACATTCTGAGATAGTAGGTACCTATTAACTAGACTAGAGCATAAGTCATGTACAATACACCTCTTGGCCTACCTCAGCATCAGTTACAATGATGATTTTACTAGTAAATCATATAACTACCAAACATGTTCTTTTATTCACCTGTTTAGGAATATACATATTTGTTTTTTTTGGTATTGTACCTAATCGTAAATCGTGAAGATTGAATTTATGCAAAGGAACCAAAATTGCGATATTATTTATTTATTAGTAACTTAGTATTACCAATTGAATAGTCATAGGCAAATAATTTATTTTTACGAGTTGATATTAAGATTGGTTGCTTGCGTTTTCAACAGCCATTCCATACTTATTGAATACATTTTAAAGAATATGAAATGTTTCCAGTTCGGAGCGTTCGAAGGTTCGCGTGTCATTCTACCAAGGGGCGCGGCCGCAGTGCTTGTCCCCTCCTCCTCCGGTACCGCAACCAGATTCCCACGTTCTTTACGCGGCCCTGCTCTCGGCTGCCGCTAACGTCGATATGGTGGACCACAATATGTACAACAGACAGATCAGGTAACACCATACATAATATAATCAAACTTTCCTGAATATGAACACAATTGCTCAACTCAAAGTGAAATCCTACAGAGTAGTTGAACTTGACAATGTTGCATAAAGTACCCAGTTGAATATCATAAATCTGTTTACTTCAATACGCACTCTCGAGAAATTGAAATGTTAAATTCATAAAGAGATTCTTGCATTAAGTAGGAATGTACCTTTCATGCATTATTTAAACTACTTACTATGTATTTCTACGTTATTATGTACTTCTAAAAGCACTGATAGCTGCATCTATTTTAGGAATATCTTTGAGAATCTATTACTTTTATCAGATATTCCACGATATTGTAATGACAAATAAGTACTTGAAAAATCAATGTAAACGGTTCACCCAAGAAGTAATTTATTCGCGTTGTTATTGTTGTGTACATACATAATAGAGTCTATACACATAGCAATGATGTCACCCTGCAATACACATGCCCATGCAAACACAACATAATTGTACTCACGTTTAGAACTACAATAATGGTGTGGTGGTTTACTGTATTTTCGAATCTACATTATTATTGCTTAACATCCGTTGCACACATTTTATGATTGTAATTTTAATAGGTAACAATGTAAGTACTTACCTATTTTTTACGAGAAGATTAACACCAGCGTGTTAATAGAGACTACTAAAGTTATTTAATAACAAAACTAGGATGACCAACGACTAAGTACCTCAATACGCCATATCCATAATGTTTAATTATTCACAACCATGAGGTGTATTATGTACCTACTTAATATCGAATATTTACAATACATGATCACAGTGAAATGCTAATTGCTACTAAAATCGTGACACAACCGATTCATAACTTAGTTTATACTGAGTAACATTATGAAGTATCACATTAGAAAATGTTTAACTCGTGTTTAGTTAATTTCGAACGTATATTACCGAAAAATTTAAAGCAACACAATTCCTTTTAACCATTGCAAATTGCCCAGGACCAATTTTTAGTTTTCACGGTTGGTCAGAAGCATCCATAATGGATGATCAATTTGCGGATGTATTCATATGCAATGCGTCTAGGTAATCTGAATCAGAATGCATCGATAGCATCTGTAGGACGGCGTCGTACCTATTATTCGAACGTAATCATGCGGCTATTGTTGTATGTTCAATGTATGGTATGTTGTGAATGAATAGTGTATGGTTGTGATTACAGCACGGAGAGCGGGTGGGACAACCCGTTCCGTCCCGATGGCGATCTCAGTCGCGAGGCCGATGAGATTGTGTCCCTGATCAAGGGCGGCAAGCCGATCACCCCTACACCACCGCCTGCTGCAACCCCGCAGCTAGCCTGCGATGAAAAGGAAGAGAAAGTGCAAGCGAATAATGTTAACGTAATAATAATTATATTCAGTAATAACTATGTACCTAGTAATAACCGTTAGGTTCCCTAAGTTAGGTATACTTAAATAAAACATGCAACTTATCATTTTTAATAACATTGCATATAATAATTTGTCGAAATGGAAGTTTAAAAGCTAGCTATCTCTAATTTTGTCTGTTCTTTCTATTTATTAGATTCTACAATTAATTGGATTATACAATGGCATAACATTAAAACTGAAATAATTTCTGCTATCGATTCCAGGCTAATGCTCCGCCATCGCCGCAGACGAAGCTAGCGAGCCCAGAGCAGCAGAGCACTCCGAAGGCGATGAACGGCACTAAGAACGGCGCGGCCGTGGCAGAAGTGCGCGCCGGGCAGGTGGAGGTGCAGCGCTCGCCGCCTCAGGAGCCGCAGCAGCCAGAGCACGTGACCATCAGGAAGAAGCCCAAGTGCAAGTGCTGCGCCATCCAATAAATGAGCCAGTGCGGTCTTTTCTTCGCTTCACACCGGTAACACGCTATGCTTTATGATGGCGTACTGCCAACCTTGGTGTTTACTCGGTGCTAAGTATTTCATTTTAAACATATGTCTTATGTTCATCTTTGAAATATTTCTAAACCTATAGGTACTATTTACAAAACATAGGTTCATTGTACCTACTATTTACAAAATTCATTGCAAGTACGGCAGCTATTTTTGTGTAACATATACATTATTGTCGTATTAGTTTCAGTGCTTGTTTGAATACCTAGTAGGTAGCAGTTTTATTGTATCTGTTATCTTAATTAATGTTTTTGATATAATTTTTATGTAGTAAGTTTTTATCAAACTTTTAGGGTACAAACATGAAAGTATTTATTTCGATTAGCTAGTCTGAAGGAAAATTGAGTTGGAGCTCTGTTAATTAGTTTTCACGCTAATACATTATTGTTTGTCGTACGAAGACACGAGTGAATGCATTATACGCATGAAACAAACAAATAATAAACATTTCATAAAGAAAATATCACTTTAGAGAATCTCACGAAATTTTAACAGAGCTTAAGCTAAGAGAGATATTGGAAAGCTCGATTATATCAAACTTGTGCAGCTAAAATGTTATTTCCATTTTTGCTCATTTTAATCAATTCAAATATAGAGAAATATTATCATAACTTTGAAAATCATTTATTTAAAAACTGTTACTTTAAGAGTTGACTCTGTGTTGAATAATATTAAAATACATAATTTAAATGTATATTTTTATATCTTTATTTATAAAGAAGTATTATAAACCATACAAAGTTGGTAACCAAGTATCGACTATATCATTGAAGATTTATAGATATTACGACAAATGTATTTTGCCATGTTTCTATGCTAGCACGAATACTATTGATAAATTAAATCCATTTGCAGTTAAGTATAGTTTTAGCAGAGTTGCTAAAACGATACTGAACTACCAGTCTCGTTCTCAAACAGCAAAAATAGTCTGGCAGTAATTCATCAATAGCATCTGTGTGCAGCCTTAAAAAACCTATAGATTATAATGTAGGTAAATGTTAACTGTTATATTATTAAAAGTAGCCTCCTTCATAATTCCACGCTTGCATCCAGTAGTGTCGACACGAACCATTTTACATTTTGACGATATTGTGGTTACTAAGCAGTTGAGGTAATATTTACGAGCCTACTTAAATTACATATTTCTTTGACAGAAACAACAAGACTGTATTTATTTGCTATTTATACTCTGAAGCATATTGGGGTTAACTGGTTAGTGAAAATGATTACTAGCCAATACTATAGGAAGTTATATAAGCTAACAGATGTAGCTTGTCGCAATTATTTTATAGTATTTGCTGGCGGAAAGTGTAGTAGAGTCATTTTAGTATATGTATGACGAATTTGATTATATAAGCTAGTTTCTGCTGAGGAATAGATTTATCTGAAGTATGATACCGATGGGCGATTTTTCCTAAAACCAAAAATGAAAATAACGAAATGCAATCGATTTGTAATATAAATACGAATAACAAATGGCTGGACAACTGTTGCAAAACAGTTATAGTTAGTAATGTGTATAAAATCGATAGGATCCAAACGGATAGAGTTTATAAGGTAGCTAGAAGTAATTAGGAAGGAAATAGCATTATAAACTTCGTTATTTTTAAACAAATAAATTATTTTCGACTTTGTTTAGGTTTTTGTATTTGTAGGTGAAGCTTAGGATTGCGGTTGTAGAACATCAGCGAATGATTTTAGTACTGAAGCCGGCACGGCGTCGCCGTAGGGGGAATCAAATCCAACAGGCAGCTAATCCGCGAAGCTCGTCTGGGGACTAACGTGTGCATCGATCTATTCTACAAGCCTTAGACGCATCACTGCGGCGAATACGTAATATTGTGCGTAGCTATGTTGGCTCACACCAACGAAACAAATTGTCGATATATTGTAATACCGTCTAAATGTCCACCTATAGCATGGCTTGGCAAACATCACTTTCAACTTATCGCAACAAAGCTTTGTGGTGTCATTGCAAGTATGTATCGGTGTTAATTGTTAACCTATAAATAAAATAAATAAAAATAAAAAATAAAAAAGCCTTGTATTTCCCAATTAAAAAGAAAATATACATTTCCAAAAAATAAAAATAGAAAGTATATCATTATATATCATGTTTCATTTTAGGGAACCCCTGAGGTGAAGGCCTCCTCCAGAGACTGCCATCTTTCTCGATCTTTTGCTGTATCTAGCCAGCGTACTCCAGCCACACGTAGGATTTCGTCGTCCCATCGTGTGTGCGGTCTTCCTCTTTTCCTTTTTCCTATTGGTCCTTTCCATGTTGTAATTATTTTTGTCCATCTATTGTCTTGTAACCTTGCTACATGACCTGCCCATTTCCACTTTAGTCTAAGTGCATATGAAACTGCGTCAATTGCTTTGGATTTCGCTCTGATTTTTGAGTGACGGTTTCTGTGTTGTTTTTTGATATTGAACATGCTGCGCTCCATTCCCCTTTGGCACGAGATAATTTTGTTCTTAACAGCGGTGCTATATTTCCATGTTTGACATGCATATGTTAAGCATGGGAGCAGATTTGAATCCATTACTTTCTTTTTTAGTTCCACTGGGAGGTCGCTTTTGAACACTTCTTTAAGACTCCAGTATTTATTCCAAGTCTGATTAACTCTCCGTTCTACCTCTAATATGTTACTGTTTTTAGCGAAAGAGATCTGCTTTCCCAAGTATATGTATTCCTTGACGTATTCGAGAGATATGTCATTGGCATTTATAGGTTTTTGTGTACTGTTAGTCATAATTTTTGTTTTTGACGAGTTCATTTCAAGACCCACTTGTATGCTTGCAAGGTGCAGTGTAGTTATCATGTGTTGTAATTGGCTAGAGCATTCAGACACTATAACTATATCGTCTGCGAATCTTAGGTGATTAAAGTATTTCCCTTGTATGTATACATACAAGGGATGTGGCATATATGCCACAGCCATTCCAATCCAGCTGTCCAAAAATTGTTTCCAAAACAGAAATAAAAAGTGTAGGGGATAGTGGGTCTCCCTGCCTTACTCCTCTTTTTATATCTATTAGTGGACCTAAAGTTTCTAATTTCACCTTGCTAGTACATTTTTCGTAGATGTTTTTTAAAACTTCGATATATTGTCTCTCCACGTTATGTTTTCTTAGCGCGTCCCATATACTTGAGTGTGATAATGTGTCGAATGCTTTTTGATAATCGATAAAGGCGACATATAGAGATCTCTGCTGTTCTTGATATTTCTCTATTAGGAGCTCTAAAGTATGTATGTGGTCGACTGTAGAGAATCCTTTCCGGAACCCAGCTTGTTCTACCGGTTGGTGAAGTTGTATGGTAGAGCTTATTCTTTTTTCAATAACTGATGAAAACAATTTGTAGAGGCTTGGCAATATACTAATAGGCCTGTAGTTTGAAATATTTTTTGGGTCTCCTTTTTTATATATCAATATTATGTTGGAGTCTGACCATTGAGAAGGTGTGGTAGCAGTATCAAGTATACGATTAAATAAAAGCGTGAGTGGGTGGCATAATATTGGCGCTCCATGTTTTAATATCTCGTTTGATATTTTGTCAATGCCAGGACACTTGTCTACTTTTAGGTTTTTTATGTTGGTCAGGATCTCTACTTCTTGTACAGGTTCTATTTCGGTAGTGTCATTGTTTTCTGTATTTTCTTGGGTTGTCTGGTGACCTCTGCTCGGCGTTGTTGGAGTGTCATATAAATTTTTGTAATATTCGGTAGCTATTGTAAGGATTTCGTTTCTGTGCTGGGTTATTCTCCCTAGGTTATTCAAGCTGTCGATCCAATTCTTGTGAGTTTGTAGTTCCTTTCGCGCTTTTTTTAAACTTCCAGAGGTTTTTAGGTGAATAAGCAGGGTGTTTTTTCTATAGTTAAGGTAGTCATTTCTTATATATTTACTAGTAAGCTTATATAGCGCTTTTAGCTCGTTTTTCATAGTTCTTGTTTTGAATTGAGTTCTTTGAAGTTGCTGCCTTCTCTCGAGGAGAGATTTAGAGCGCTCTGATAATTTTGCGTTTGTATGATTCCTGGTTGTTGGGGTTTTTTGTTGAAGACTTTTGTTAATTGCGTTTACAATTTTATCATAGTAGCTCTGAATTGTGTCGGTGCTTTGTGTTTCTTCTAATAATTGAATGTTTTGATAGAGATTATTCCTGAATTCCATTATTTCCTTCTCGCTTTGTAAGGTTTTGTAACACCTGCTAGTATAGTTTGCTCTACTTCTTTTTATATTGGTTAGCGTTAGTGTTGATCTAACCAATCTGTGGTCAGATGGAAAATTTATGTTTAGTACTTCTAGGTTTTGAAATGAGTCGGGGTTGTTCGATAGAATAAAGTCTATTTCATTCCTATATTGTCCGTTAGGTGATTTCCATGTCCATTTGCGTTCAGGTCTTTTCTTAAAGAAAGTATTTATAATTGATAGCTTATGTTGTAGGGCAAAATCGATAAGTTTTTCTCCTCTTGCGTTTCGTGTACCGTATCCATTTGCTTTCATAATTAAAAATTCATCGCTCCGAGGTTGTCCTATTTTGGCATTAAAATCGCCCATGACTATAATTTTCGTATGGGCTTTCTTCATGGCTTTGTTTAGGGTTGTATAAAAGGCAGTTATATCATCATCGCTGGCTGCTTCCGTTGGTGCGTAGACTTGAATTAGTGTTAATTTGTAACTGTGTATGTTCAAATTTAATGTAGCTATTCTGTCCGATAGACCGATGTAACTTTCTATGTGTTGCTTCAGGTGTTTCTTAACTAAAAAGCCAATTCCGTGATACCCAGCTCGTTCTCCCGTATAGCACAGTAAGAAGTCCCCGTAGTCTTCTATTTGATTTCCCAATCGTCTGATTTCCGATAATCCCAAAATATCAAACTTAACATTTTTTAGAGCTTCTGTTAATTCCATAAGTCTTTCATATGTTG